CTTCCCTCTAGTCTTACACTGCTAAATTAGGGACGGCTAGCGCAGATAGCCCTCGTGTAGCTTTGCGCGAAATTCCAAAACAAATTCCTATATATTTTATTTAGAAAATAAATGATTTCACTCTGTCTTCTTTTTTTGCTAATGTTTGTTTATTTATTCGTTCCGTACACTGAGTAATATACCATCAACATTTCAGTTAATTTCATACTTTACTTCTCCGATTTTCATATCTGTTTGTCGGTTGTTAACCATAAAGCTGCACAATGAGCTATCTATGCTGTGTCCACCACTGGTATCGACACCCTAGCTTCAGTGTTATAAGCCCTCAGACTTACCCGCTGAGTCACTGAGAAGCTTATAAAAAATGAATAATTACATCTAGTGTTTTATCAGTTTTCTTCACACTCGCTGCAAAACACAAAGTACCCAACACGATGGCTGCGTGAATATCCTCGGTAGTGAGTGGTAATAAAAACAAGTCAGTAATTCGAGGGTTAACTATTCATTTTTCGGAGCTAATAATAACATATCTGAGTGAGTAGCTTCGGTAACTTAATTACCCGGGACACGAAAACGTGCAATATTTATCTGTAACTTCTTTATCAGGCAGGCTGCAGCATTGCCTATGTAGGGATGACTCGGTTTGTTTATGGAAATGGTATTTTTTATATATCTCCTCAATACTTCATCAGTATATCATTATAACAATATCTATGTAATGATTGAGTCACAAGTTCTGGCAGTGTCTAAATATCATAGCAAAAAGTTTGAATTTCTTGTTTTTCTTTTCTATTACATGGTAACTCAAAAACCAACACAATGGTGTCAACCAAATTCAGTGAGGTGACATAGTTTCAAACGGAGTATCCACTTTTATAAGTATCAATAACTAGTAGTAATTAAACAGAATCATAATCCTAATTTTAACTATGTTAACATTTCCCCTTGAAGTTAGCTTTTTTACAGAAATTTGGCTTTTATATAAAAAAGCTTAAATACAGGGTGAAACAAGAAATACCAGCCAATGATAGATAAATAATGAATATTACTGTTGGAGCCTCATTGAATTTAGTACTTGGTTATAAATACAACCTTTATGTGTCTATTGAAACGCTGCATTAAAAAAACAAGAAAAGAAAAAAGTTTTTTTTAAGGAAGTAAATGTAGGGATGGCTAATATCGATCCTTCAAAAACAATACAAACAAGATAGCAGGGATGGCATTTCAATAATCCCTACATAATAGCACAGGCAAGAATTAACATGTAGCAATATATATATAACTATTCAATCACAACTGAGTTTAATTTATCTTATTTTTGTCTGTTAACATTCTACTACTCTGTGTGTCTGTGTTATTTTGTACAAATGCCATCCTTACTATATTGTATTGCAATTAATCGCACAAATCGCCATTTTGAGGGTAAGCAATAAAAAAAAGCAGTTTTGAAAGTTAATGTCGCTTGATTTTCCCGCGAGACTTGGCAACACTGGGTAGAATCTACAAAACCGACAGCTTACCATAAAATTTGCGTAAGGCAGAGTTCCACGTAAGGTTCCTACTTTCAACTGCTTGTTCTGAACTCGACGGGCCAACTCTGATATGGTATCTATTGGTAGTTCCTTCCCTGGAACATTCATGAAAGAGGTCAAACTCCCACTAAATCCTGCCACAATGATGATAGCGAACAACCAGTAACAAGCGATAATTAGTCTCATTGAATTTCTGACAGGAAGTCTTTCGCCACCTATACCAGAATATGTTAAACAACGGAAAATCAAAAAGTAATAAACTTATTAGAAATATAAATAAATTAAAATTAATATATTAACGTGACAATTACCGATCAGCTTTTTAAATACACTTTTCTTAATGATATATATATATATATATATACAAAATTGCTTGTGGGCCTATGACTTTATGGGTTAGAGTGCCCTTAGTAACATATGAATCACACAAAATTGTAAATGAAAACACTATAGATGTTGCAATAAATCCCACTAATTTTTTCTGAGACCCCTTATATATTTTGCACAGAAAATGAATGATTTAATTAAAGTTTTTGGTAGTTCATTACAAACAAAAACCTAAAACTGCATGATATCATGCAATAAGTTGACTGCATAGGTAGTCAATAATATAAAAACAAATTACACAGTTCAATTACTTAAATTGCAAGTAAAAGTTTAGTAATTGTTTGTTGGTTTTAAATCCAGGCTTCATTTGACGAATTAGAAACATCAACTTCACCCGAAAACGAGACTATGCTACGGGTGAAGGAGACGCTTCTAATCCTTCAAATGAAGCCTGGACTAAACAATCAAACAGTTACTAAACGTTTACTTGCAATTTAAGTAATTGAGCTGTATAGAAACATTTCTGTTATTTGAAGATTAATAAACACAATGTTAATATTTTTATTTCAACTGCTACGCTCTCAATATAACATAACATTACTTTTTTGTTAGGCCTCGTTTGATTATTGAATTAAGTACAACATTCATCAGATAAACCAAGCACGAAATATTATATAATTAGCTGTAATATCTTACAAGCCTAGCACTGAAAATTATACTAAAGTATTTTGTCCAACCGATTAAACGAAACCATGTATTGGACCATGCGGTTAAAACTGATGCACATGATACCTAAGTACTGACTGCGCTGCCTCAGTCTGCAGTAAATCATATCCAACAAATGACTATATCAACCATTGTTAATCTAGTTTCACACAATTTCTATTACTGAAACGTCTGTTAGTAAGTTACTATATCAACCATTGTTAGCCTAGTTTCACACAATTTCTATTACTGAAACGTCTGTTAATAAGTTACTATATCAACCATCGTTAATCTAGTTTCACACAATTTCTATTACTGAAACGTCTGTTAATAAGTTACTATATCAACATTTGTTAATCTAGTTTCACACAGTCTGCAGTAAATCATATCCAACAAATGACTATACCAACCATTGTTAGCCTAGTTTCACACAATTTCTATTACTGAAACGTTCGGTAGTAAGTTACGATATCAACCATTGTTAGTCTAGTTTCACACAATTTCTATTACTGAAACGTCTGTTAGTAAGTTACTATATCAACCATTGTTAATCTAGTTTCACACAATTTCTATTACTGAAACGTCTGTTAGTAAGTTACTATATCAACCATTGTTAATCTAGTTTCACACAATTTCTATTACTGAAACGTCTGTTAGTAAGTTACTATATCAACCATTGTTAGCCTAGTTTCCCACAATTTCTATTACTGAAACGTTCGGTACTAAGTTACGATATCAACCATTGTTAGTCTAGTTTCACAAACCCTCTATTACTGAAATTTTCGTTAGTACGTTTTGAATATAAATTTTCAACTAGGCACACACACACACACACACATATATATATATATATATATATACATGCGTGTACAACCCTGCTAGTTCCTTGTATATTTTAACTGGAATTAAACTTCTTAAAAATGAACTTCTGTTGGTATTAAACCTAACTACTTACTGACTAAAGATGTATTGTTTGTTCCTATTCACGCACCTTGTAATGTAAGAGCTCCAAAAAAATACCATAGAGCTTCTCCAACAGTCCAGTTGTTTGTTTCAGGTCCAAGTGACTTTCTTGCCAAGAAGGCAGTAACCACCGAAGTAGCTACAACTGATGTAAAAATAGCGATCCACAGCTGAAAATACCAAATTGAACAATCCATCGACCTCAATAGTTGTATTGAAGACAAAAAATCAATGAATAAAAAATTATATACTACATTTAAAAGGAGTTGTTGTTTTAGTACAAAGCTGCACAATGGGCTATACACAATCTATCTACCACGGGGAGTCGAACCCCGAATTTTGGCGTATTGAATCCGTAAGTTTACCGCTGACCCACCGCGAGGTTTTAAAAACAAGCAAGGAAAAAAGGTGTTTTAAAATAAATTCTCTCCGGTCGTTAGTTGAACTTTTTTCAGATATTCTGTGTAACATTCTACTTTACTGGGTGTGTAGGAAAAGGCTTAAGCTAGGAAAAGCATTGTGCAACTAATGATGTTCAGTGTCCTGAAGTATTTTATTCATCAGAAGGAAAGGCTGGTAAGAAGAGAATTATAAATGATAATTTAATTACTACGTTTTTCATTGTATATTAATTTTTCTATTCTGTCGAGGTTGATAGTTTTCACGGCCAATATAAAATGTTGTGTCCAAGGGTTCATGGTTCGCATTCCATTGCCGCAAAATCTTGCTACACACTTTGAGGCCATGCGTGCTTTATAACATTGGTGGTCAAGGGGCCATATGTGTTTTATAAGAGTGGTGGTCAAATCCTACTATTCGATTAGAGTAGCCCATGAGTTTCTGGAGAGTGCTATTGACTAGCTGTCTTCACTCTAGTCTATCAGTTCAAAGTTAAGGGCGGCTAGCGCAGGTAACCCTTATGTGGCTTTGTGCGAACTTATGAAACAGAGAAATTTATTTAATAAACTTTCTTCAATTATAACAGTTAGTCAGACTGGAACTTTTCTTGTTCATTACTTACCTGTACAGTAAAGGGTTTGACGATAGCCAAAGCTCGAGATTTTTCACGAGGTGCGTGCGTGACGAAACTCATCGAACCAATCATGTAAGGATAAGTGAAGTCTACGATCTCTTGACGTTCGTTAGTCATACCAATGTTGGTCAAGGCAAAATCTGCTTCCTGTGTAAAATCAAAATCAAAGCCTAACCAAAAATACATGACCTGAAAAGTTCTACATCAGAATGTACATACACGACTTCAGGTTAGCATGTTGTTGTACATCAGAATGTACATACACGACTTTAGGTTAGCATGTTGTTCTACATCAGAATGTACACACACGACTTTAGGTTAGCATGTCGTTCTACACCAGAATGTACACACACGACTTTATGTTAGCATGTTGTTCTACATCAGAATGTACATACAC